GCAAAGAAATATCTTTGAGCTATTAGAATTAAATCCCTTTACACAAGAGTACAAAAAAAAGAGAAGAGCTCAAGAAAAGGAATACTCTCAAGCTTCATCAGAACACATGCTTACTTTTGTAAGAAGAAAGAAGATAGAGTGATAAAGATAAACACTGAGAGGTTCTCTCGAGCTTTACTATAATTTTTTATGACTTGGAATTTAATTTTCGTTATTGGAAGCTAGTGAAAGAAGCCATGAACAAGAAGAAGACAAAGAGTAGTCCAGTTTGTAGAAGTGGTGTGGTGAGGACAAGGGAGAGGTTGAGGAGGTCGGCAAGTTTGCCGAATAACAAGAAAAACTTGACAAGTTTTCTGAATAGCAAGAACTCGACAAGATTGTCGAGTAGCAAAGAGTACTCAACAAGATTGTGGAGTAGCAAGGAGAACTCAGAAAGTTTGTCGAGTAGTAAGGAGAAGTTGGCTAGACAACCAAGCAGGTTGAAGAGGTTGGTAAGATATGCAGATAGAGCAGACAACGAGGTGGATCATATGAAGAACTCTACAAGACAGTCGAGTAGAGTGTTGAACTTGGCAAAATAGCCGAGTAATGCGGGGAACTCGACAAGAAAACCGAGTAATGAGCAACGTGGATAGGTCAACTAGATAATTGGATAATCCGAGAAGGTGCTTGGACATCTTGCATAGTTGGGAGGAGCATGTAGAAAGATCAGAGGTGAATGTAGAGAGATGGGTAGAGCCTAAGGTAAGCTCATTGAGCAAACAATTTGGAAACGCGGTGGCAAACATGCTCGAGTTTCTGGATTGGAAGATGAAGGTCAAAGAGGAATTGAGCAAGAAGGTGAAGAGCTTAAATGGCTCGGTAGAGCATGTAAATAGCTCGGTAAGTATGTTGGTAGCTCGACTAGGAGCCCGAGTAGCTTAGTGGATAGTCCAGATAATTTAGATAACCTTGATAGCTTAGTGGAGTAAGTAGACAACTCAAAAGGAACTCGATTTATTGGTGTGAAGTTGGCGTGGTTCGTTATTTCGAAAGGAGAACAATATACTGGTAAGTACCAAAGTACAAGAAGCTCAAAAACCAAAAGTAGAAGCTAAAAAACTAACAATATTAGCAATTTCATTTTGATGTAATTATTAAATACAATTGCTGGAGTTCACTATTTTTTTTTAGACAGTAAAATTTGAATTGGTGGATCAATATGTATATCTACTGGATGTACACCAATTTCCTTTTACCTTTAACAAATTCGAAACACAATGTTTTAACAAGTACTAAAATTATCTCATTGATTCAAAAACATTACATAAACAACTTCAACCTTTACAACACATCATGCGGTTGTCAACATAATTGATATTACAATTATATTAATGACACATACCACAACCATCATCCCACAATAGCAAATGGATTTTACACTCAACCTCCTCAACCCCGGCACCATGAGAACACACACTACCATTTTGCATCCTCCAACCATTGCATGTGCAAGACAAACAAGAATGAGTAAGACATACCCTAGCTAAACAATTGACAATCAAGAAGACAACATTTCCTTTCAAAATTTGTAAAAGAACAATCTCTTAAAAGGGGTGAATTAAACTCGTAAGTTGTAACACCCCTAATGAAGTGCCACTTGAAAATAATAAAATCCAAAATTTACGCCAAATTTTTTTTCTTTCAATTAAATGTCATCGCTTATAACATTTATATAAAATCGTGGAAGCAAACAAAACATCAAACGTCCGAACGTATTACAATATAAAATTCAAAACTTATAATTATTAAAATCCATTATTCAGAAATATAAAAATACTTTAAACATAATAAAATTCCCAACAACTAATCCCATATTTCTCGCCGCACTACTCCTGTCCTGCCTTATTTACAACGACATCTACTCTCGTGTACAAGTACGATCATTGCAGGTGGAACCACAACCACAAAAGGAAGAGTGAGTAACTAAGAGCATAACATAGTATAGACTGAATTCTATCGTTGCTTTGTCAAAGGTTATGCCTCCATCACTAGTGCTTTCACTGACCTCCTTAAAAGTGACAATTTCTTTTGGCAAGATAATGCCTTACAAGCCTTCCAACATTTGAAAGAGGCACTGACGAATGCTCCTATTTTGTCACTACCCCATTTTGAAAACACGTTCATAGTTCAAACTGATGCCTCCGGTTCAGCCATGAGGGTTGTTCTCTCTCAAAACGGACATCCCATCGCATATTTCAGTAAACAGTTTTGCCCGAAGCTGCAAAACTCATCCACTTATCTTAGGGAACTCTGTGCAGTTACCTCAGTTGTACAAAAGTGGCGGCAATACTTACTTGGCCGAAGATTCACTATCCAAACAGATCAAAAATCAATTAAAGAGTTGCTTTCCCAAACGGATCTTACTCCAGATCAACAACATTACCTCTACAAGTTGTTGGGCTACGACTTTGAAATACAATATCGCACAGGGAAGTCTAATTCAACAACATATGCTTTATCTAGGCTTTAGTCACAACAGGAGTACTATCTTCTCATTTTATTCATTCCTCAATTGTATTTTATATTTGATCTAAAGCAATATTTATCCACCAATGTCGAGTTCCTTTCACTGAAGCAGCGAATCACAACAAATCCTGTTAACTTTCCTCTATATTCTTTGACAAATGGGTTGATCTTGTTCAAACAACGCATCTGGATTCCTCCATCATGCCCTTTCATCCCCACTCTCTTACATGAGTATCATTCTACACCTTTGACAGGACACCCTAGCGTAGCACGCACCTTTGGGAAGTTAGCAGCTAACTTATTTTAGGACAAAATGAGTCAAGACATCCACACATTTGTGACCCAATGTGAAATCTGTCAACAAAATAAGATCCCAGCTCAAAAACCTACAAGACTACCTCAACCAATTCCTCCACCTACCATATGTTGGGAGGATTTATCCCTAGATTTCATTGTGGGCCTTCCTCCATACCAAGGCAATTCTATAATATCGATTGTTGTCAACAGGTTCTCAAAGGTTGCATACTTTGGCATGTTACCTAGGTCTTTCTCAACCTCCAAAGTGGTAGACCTATTCGTGAACACGATCTGCAAATTGCACGACCTTCCCAAGAGCTTAATTTTTTATCGGGACCCTATTTTCTTAACGAGTTTTGGCGGGAGCTCTTCCGATTAAGTGGTACCAAGTTGCGGATGTCCACAGCTTACCATCCTCAGTCCGATGGCCAAACTGAGGTGGTTAACAAGGTCCAACAATATCTTCACTGCTTCGTTCATCACAAGTCATCATTGTGGGGCAAATTTCTTCCATAGGTCGAATAGTGCTTAAACACCACTATTAACACTTCTATCAAGATGACCTCATTCGAAGTCGTGTATGGCCATCCCCCACCATCTATTCCCTAAGGTCTTTCTTCTGACACTTCAAACGCTATTGTTCAATTTGAATTGCAATCTAGAGTTGGCACCATCCATAAACTCAACAACAACCTCCAAAAGGCACAAGCAAATCTTAAGGGATGGGCAGACACCAACCGTCGCGATCTCCAATTCCAACCTGGAGATTGGGTTTATGTTTGTCTTCACCCTCACCATCAAGTTTCAGTTGTTGTTCATTACCAAGGCAAGTTATAGAAACAATTTTTTGGTCCCTTTCAGGTCTTGGAACGGATTGGGCAAGTTGCTTACAAATTAGAGTTTCCTTCAACTGCCAAAATCCACAATGTCTTTTACGTCAGCTTTCTCAGACCACACAAGGGAAATCCCCCGACAACAGCTTCAAAACTTCCCTTGGAATTCAATGATAATCAACCCATATTGGAACTCATAGCTATTCTAAAAACTAAGCCAGATTCTGACTTAGTCTTGGTGCAATAGAGGGGTCTTCCACCAGAAGATGCTACGTAGGAACCATGGGGAGTTATGGAAGAGCAATTCGACCTTGAGGAGAAGGTGCTTCTCCATCCGGAGGGAGATGAAAGAATCATTGGGCCTTTGTAGTACTCTAATCCTATTGACTATGCACAAGGTAAGCACAAGTACTATTCGAGATGTTAAACACAACCCAAGTAATGCTCCAGATGCTTCTATTAATGGTCCTAAAAGGGTTATCCGTCAGTCAATTTATCTTAGGGATTTTGTTACTAAGTGACGTGTCACCCTTACCTAAAAAGGCAGTCAATTTATCTTAGGAATTTTGTTACTAAGTGACGTGGCACCCTTACCTAAAAAGGAAGAAACCGTTATACCCATGTGAAGAAATATTAATTATAAAGAGTAGTGCTTATATAAAACACATCTTGTTAAGCGATGAAGCAATAAAAAGAATTATTACGTATTCTCTCCTTATATTCTTATGCTCTAGATTATTCCATTCTCTATTTGTTACTAAGTGACATGTCACCCTTACCTAAAAAGGAGGAAACCGTTATACCATGTGAAGAAATATTAATTATAAAGAGTAGTGCTTATACAGAACACATCTTGTTAAGCGATGAAGCAATAAAAAGAATTATTATGTATTCTCTCCTTATATTCTTATGCTCTAGATTATTTCATTCTCTATTTTTTTTCTCTTACATAGGACTAAAGAGATAAAGATGTGTTGGAGTGTTTGCAGTGAATGTAAGCAGTAATAGAAAAGCTCGTGATAAGTGTTTAGTGCTTAATGTTCTTAATCTGATAATACATCACCAACAGCAGCTTCTTTAACAATATTCGAAAGGTACACAACACCATTTTCACCTAAGAACTGCGTGAATAGTGTTTAAAAATATTAGTGTATAAGATGAATAAAGAAAGAGAAACGATTTAAAGTAAAAATAACTGCTTAAAGAAATCTTTTATTTCATTAAAAATAATTTACATACAGTATCACGACAAATTCCCATTCGTGAAAGATAATATATTTGCAAATATAGATGGAGTTGGATGGTAATAATCATCTATCAAAATTTGGAGATACATTAACTACACTCAGACCCAAAGCCATATGAAGAATAAATACCACGTCTAATATGGATAATTTTCATAGATGTTAGAATCCAATTACAATCCCTATAATTTGAAGGTAAAACAACTCAAGTAATAAAAAAAAATTGAATTAATGACATTAACTTCGAATTTCTCCAAATCGTGTACAAACAACAAAATCTCACAGAAATCCTCGTCATGGAAGCATATGGGAACGAAACAAGAGGGGGTAAGTGCAACAAAACCCACTGCTCCAACACTGTAGGAAAACAAACACAACTTAGATGTGTGCAGTAAAATCCCATTGAAACCCCAATATGAAGACTCCAAATTATCATATTTTCTTTATTTTTTTCTTCTATTTTTAAGGGCCAAGGAAAAATGTGATAGAGCATCTAAAATAAATAATGATATCAGATTATCTTACTATAGAAAAGATACTTGAAAAGAAAATTGAAATAATAACAACAGTTAAATTCAACGTAGACTAACCACAGAAAGCAATGGTCCCTGCTTAAATTTTCCGTGAAATGAAAACGTGATTGGCTTCGGACTGTCTCCAGGCCCTCTTATAAATCCACTAAAGCACATAATTGGAAGGGAAAACAATGTCAAATGACATAAAATCCAGCATTAAATTAATGAATAATAACAGAGATCAGTAATTGAACCATTTTCAATTCAACCATGAACTCACNAATTATTAAAATCCATTATTCAGAAATATAAAAATACTTTAAACATAATAAAATTCCCAACAACTAATCCCATATTTCTCGCCGCACTACTCCTGTCCTGCCTTATTTACAACGACATCTACTCTCGTGTACAAGTACGATCATTGCAGGTGGAACCACAACCACAAAAGGAAGAGTGAGTAACTAAGAGCATAACATAGTATAGACTGAATTCTATCGTTGCTTTGTCAAAGGTTATGCCTCCATCACTAGTGCTTTCACTGACCTCCTTAAAAGTGACAATTTCTTTTGGCAAGATAATGCCTTACAAGCCTTCCAACATTTGAAAGAGGCACTGACGAATGCTCCTATTTTGTCACTACCCCATTTTGAAAACACGTTCATAGTTCAAACTGATGCCTCCGGTTCAGACATGAGGGTTGTTCTCTCTCAAAACGGACATCCCATAGCATATTTCAGTAAAAAGTTTTGCCAGAAGCTGCAAAACTCATCCACTTATCTTAGGGAACTCTGTGCAGTTACCTCAGTTGTACAAAAGTGGCGGCAATACTTACTTGGCCGAAGATTCAATATCCAAACAAATCAAAAATCAATTAAAGAGTTGCTTTCCCAAACGGATCTTACTACAGATCAACAACATTACCTCTACAAGTTGTTAGGCTACGACTTTGAAATACAATATCGCAAAGGGAAGTCTAATTCAACAACATATGCTTTATCAAGGCTTTAGTCACAACAAGAGTAATATCTTCTCATTTTATTCATTCCTCAATTGAATTTTATATTTGATCTAAAGCAATATTTATCCACCAATGTCGAGTTCCTTTCACTGAAGCAGCGAATCACAACAAATCCTGTTAACTTTCCTCTATATTCTTTGACAAATGGGTTGATCATGTTCAAACAAAGCATCTGGATTCCTCCATCATGCCCTTTCATCCCCACTCTCTTACATGAGTATCATTCTAAACCTTTGACAGGACACCCTAGCGTAGCACGCACCTTTGGGAAGTTAGCAGCTAACTTCTTTTAGGACAAAATGCGTCAAGACATCCACACATTTGTCACCCAATGTGAAATCTGTCAACAAAATAAGATCCCAGCTCAAAAACCTACAAGACTACCTCAACCAATTCCTCCACCTACCATATGTTGGGAGGATTTATCCCTAGATTTCATTGTGGGCCTTCCTCCATACCAAGGCAATTCTATAATATCGATTGTTGTCAACAGGTTCTCAAAGGTTGCATACTTTGGCATGTTACCTAGGTCTTTCTCAACCTCCAAAGTGGTAGACCTATTCGTGAACACGATCTGCAAATTGCACGACCTTCCCAAGAGCTTAATTTTTTATCGGGACCCTATTTTCTTAACGAGTTTTGGCGGGAGCTCTTCCGATTAAGTGGTACCAAGTTGCGGATGTCCACAGCTTACCATCCTCAATCCGATGGCCAAACTGAGGTGGTTAACAAGGTCCAACAATATCTTCACTGCTTCGTTCATCACAAGTCATCATTGTGGGGCAAATTTCTTCCATAGGTCGAATAGTGCTTAAACACCACTATTAACACTTCTATCAAGATGACCTCATTCGAAGTCGTGTATGGCCATCCCCCACCATCTATTCCCTAAGGTCTTTCTTCTGACACTTCAAACGCTATTGTTCAATTTGAATTGCAATCTAGAGTTGGCACCATCCATAAACTCAACAACAACCTCCAAAAGGCACAAGCAAATCTTAAGGGATGGGCAGACACCAACCGTCGCGATCTCCAATTCCAACCTGGAGATTGGGTTTATGTTTGTCTTCACCCTCACCATCAAGTTTCAGTTGTTGTTCATTACCAAGGCAAGTTATAGAAACAATTTTTTGGTCCCTTTCAGGTCTTGGAACGGATTGGACAAGTTGCTTACAAATTAGAGTTTCCTTCAACTGCCAAAATCCACAATGTCTTTTACGTCAGCTTTCTCAGACCACACAAGGGAAATCCCCCGACAACAGCTTCAAAACTTCCCTTGGAATTCAATGATAATCAGCCCATATTGGAACCCATAGCTATTCTGAACACTAAGCCAGATTCTGACTTAGTCTTGGTGCAATAGAGGGGTCTTCCACCAGAAGATGCTACGTAGGAACCATGGGGAGTTATGGAAGAGCAATTCGACCTTGAGGAGAAGGTGCTTCTCCATCCGGAGGGAGATGAAAGAATCATTGGGCCTTTGTAGTACTCTAATCCTATTGACTATGCACAAGGTAAGCACAAGTACTATTCGAGATGTTAAACACAACCCAAGTAATGCTCCAGATGCTTCTATTAATGGTCCTAAAAGGGTTATCCGTCAGTCAATTTATCTTAGGGATTTTGTTACTAAGTGACGTGTCACCCTTACCTAAAAAGGCAGTCAATTTATCTTAGGAATTTTGTTACTAAGTGACGTGGCACCCTTACCTAAAAAGGAAGAAACCGTTATACCCATGTGAAGAAATATTAATTATAAAGAGTAGTGCTTATATAAAACACATCTTGTTAAGCGATGAAGCAATAAAAAGAATTATTACGTATTCTCTCCTTATATTCTTATGCTCTAGATTATTCCATTCTCTATTTGTTACTAAGTGACATGTCACCCTTACCTAAAAAGGAGGAAACCGTTATACCATGTGAAGAAATATTAATTATAAAGAGTAGTGCTTATACAGAACACATCTTGTTAAGCGATGAAGCAATAAAAAGAATTATTATGTATTCTCTCCTTATATTCTTATGCTCTAGATTATTTCATTCTCTATTTTTTTTCTCTTACATAGGACTAAAGAGATAAAGATGTGTTGGAGTGTTTGCAGTGAATGTAAGCAGTAATAGAAAAGCTCGTGACCAGTGTTTAGTGCTTAATGTTCTTAATCTGATAATACATCACCAACAGCAGCTTCTTTAACAATATTCGAAAGGTACACAACACCATTTTCACCTAAGAACTGCGTGAATAGTGTTTAAAAATATTAGTGTATAAGATGAATAAAGAAAGAGAAACGATTTAAAGTAAAAATAACTGCTTAAAGAAATCTTTTATTTCATTAAAAATAATTTACATACAGTATCACGACAAATTCCCATTCGTGAAAGATAATATATTTGCAAATATAGATGGA